ACAAATATTCTCTTCAGATGAATTATGTGAAAAGCGAATTCTAAAAGAGCTTTCAACAGGTGGTTGGTCAATGTCTCTCGAGGTAACTGCAGATGGGACACAAAATTTCGCATATAAAATCAGTAGAAAAATTTACTCTACAAGTTACGATAAATAAAGAAAGTCGTCTTTAATCACTACCTGACTGATTATGTTACGTTATAACTTCGTTCACACTATACCGCACCTTTTATAGCATCTTTTATCTCGGTTAGGGCCATCATTGTACATAAAATGCAGCGAAAATGTAACATGACTTGTACGAGTAGTTGAATGCATAAAATAATAGTTTCTAAAGGACCACTATGAGCTGTTAAAGGGTTTCTTATGAAAAGGTTCCATAGAAAATAGTGCTCGGGCCGCATAATAATTTTCTTTTAGGACTCCTTCACTTGTACGATTATTTTTTAAGAAACAGCATTCAACATGGAATTGTAGACGTTATACGTTATGCTGTATATACATAAAAAAGATACTTACCTAGTATATAACCAATAGAATGATTGTACAGTTTTGTAAAGCACCAATGTATAAATGGACAGAGAATACGTCCTTTTAGGCGGATAGATGTACGTATATCAACCTAATTACGTAATATTGATTATTTTTAAATGGATAAAGCCACATTGCTCATTACATTTATCATTTTCCTACATTCCTGCAAAAGCCTTTACCCAAAATTTGTCTTCACATCTAGCAGGTCAAACGTAATTAGCCAAAAACGTTTTAATAGGGACGCATCAATGATATTAAGCAATATTGCATGTATCTGTAACATTCGATTTTTAAAAACTGTTTGAGCTTTCTAACTAAGCCACAATATTTTTACCAATTTAGATTTTGCTTATAGTGTTCAGAAAGACAACCGATTTTGTGAGAAACTGTAAGTAGATGGATTTGTTAACTATGTTAAAGTTTACCATGTAGAGACTGTATTTCGGTGTATGGTTAGGGTCCAATATGTACAGGTTATAATGATTTTATCGATTGTCAGATGTTTTATTGGGAATAGAGTTACTTTAATATGGAAGCTGCGTTTTATTCAAATCCCTTCAAGTACGAGTATGCCTTATGGTAAATTAACCGATATTCTGGGTACTCTAAAAATTAAGGAGATTATACTGGACCTGACTCAACGAAGTAAGAATACCATAACCCACAGCTGGTCAATGTGGGAGAAACTTTATTTGAGAAGAATTAGATTGACCTTTAGAGCATTATAATAGGCGGGCAGTGAAACGCAGGCTATCGTAGACCAGAATTTATTAAATTCGAGTAAACAAATAACTTATAGCTACATTTTTAAATTGCTATATACTGTTTTTCTTAAATATATACCAACATCACAGTAAGGAATTTTTACAAGTACTTGTGAATACATCTTTGGCTTATTTTCAGGGTTACAGAGAGTTGTGTCATTGCCGAAAAGACAATTGACAGATTGTGATTACGATTACGTATATATCAAGTAAGAAGATTAAACATTATATTCTGCACTCAAGTTGCTACCCGAAGGGTTTATCTTATTGTTTCATCATTTACCTGAACCATTCATTATCACTTAACTGCCAGTCAGGGATTGTAGACATTGGGGGATTAACCAGTAGTCTACGAATGCTCGGTAAGAATTTTGATCCAATCCCGATTTCAATTTTTCACTATTCGGTATACTACTTGGGATCTGCGACGCCATCTATTTTTTTCTTGTTTGGCATAGGTGGCACCCGCGGAGCCTTATGAAAACCAAACCATCTTCAAGTTTTTGATTGCCAAAATTGTAGGACAGGAGTGACTATTTAGAAAAATAAGACAAATTACAGTGATTCGAATGCTCTAAAATGAAATAATTTTTGGCAAGAGGTTGAGGCTCAATTTCATTCAAGCAGCCTTGTAACCTACAAATCTTGCTGGCGAATTCGGTTCTAGCGGTTTAGGACAACATGATAGGAAGACGGTCGTTGCCCCAGGACTCTACAACCCTGACTATTTTTTACAGTCTAACATCCAACCATCATTAGGCATACATAACTTTGGCTTAAATCCTTGAACATTTTATTCCGTCCACCTAGTACTTCTTCCATCGATCATGATATGTGCACTTGCGTCACCAGAATTCGAACCTCGGTCATAATCTGCTAATGTTTTTGATCTTTTTATTGTTCTCTAACTTGACCTCCAGCCACCCAAACGAGACCACAGCTACCAGCAGAAACATACCGAGAGTGTACAACTTCAAGGAGTTGCACACGAAGCCGTGGAACAGGAAGGAGATCGAGGAACCCAGGAATCTGAAGAAGGTTGTTATGGCGAAGGCTGATTCCCAGTTGTCTGAGTACTGGTTTGTCAGGAGAGCTGGAAAAATTGACTAGCTTAAAACTTCGAAATATACTGAATATTATTCATACAGACGTCTCTTATTACAGAGATAAAGGGCGCTTATAACGATACAAGGAAGTGCCGTAACTTGAACGGCATTTAATAATAAAGTTCTGGTGATTTAGAGCCTCACAGAACATTCTTGCTCTGTTTTATCAAGAGATAATTATGTAAGATATGTTTCCAATATAACAATTTGCGGGCAACATATGCCGAGTACACGTTGCGCAACATGTGCTTGCACCTTGTTTAAATGGAAACGCAGCTGACCGGGCACATGTGTCGCAACATCTCACAAACCATCAGAACTTCCTCAATACACACACGGTATATATACTTTTATATAACATATATGAAACATTTTGTCCGTACAAATATGCGAGACTCAGGGTGGAAAATAAAATGTCTGTAGCTAAATGTGTAATAACCGAGACGAGCCGAAACGGTGAGCTTGAAAAGTTATTCAAGAGAAACGATTTTCAGGTATATCAGGGAGTCTGTGTCAAGGTATAGAAGGTTAGTGACGAATCAGACACTTTTTGTGCTTATACATTATTATTCCTGGACGACTTGCATAAAGGTTATCAAGATCAATCGGTTCAATGTCTATTAGACCAGTAAAAGTGCTTATATAAAATAAACATTTGACAGTTCGTAGCAAAGGGTATCTGCAAACTATCACATCTACTAAGGCGTAACAACTTTCCTGTTAGATATGCTATGATCTGAGCAGAAATTAGCACATTGATACCTTAATATTCGTTAAGAAAGCATATTTCAAAATATCAATTTGAGCAAACCTCCATAATGATAATACTCACAAAACATTAACATCTCCCAAATGGCATTGCAAACACCCCACGATGCAGAAAATAACGTAGAACAGTGCGGGGTCATCGTCTATGGGTTTCCATAAAAACAAAACCATTAGAAGACACCCATGGAATATAAATCCTACAGCTAAAAAACGAAAAGGTATGATTAGTAGTTCAAACTAACGCTAGACTGAAGCAAACCTACTCTTTTAACTGAGAGCTCAAAGCAGAACTACTAACGACTGTCCTTTTTTGCAACACACGATACAAGTTGGTTCTGTCTTGAGTTCTAGGTTGAGGTTAGCATTAATCCAGCATCAAAAATACTCACATCTCAAATAAAGTAAGATGTTTCATTTCCTTACCAACTACGTAATATCTTCTGATTGTCCTTAACAACATGCTAAGAGTACATGCAGCTACTGATTGAAGGAGGCCCATGGCCAAGAACACGTAGTTTAAACGATGGATGCCCAGGGTACACATTACATATGACTAAAATTAAAAATATATATGTTTATCAGAAATAGAAATCGGGTGCATGAGCCCTGAGTAGACGAACCTTGGTATAAGATCGTGTAATGTTACTTACCTTACTAAAATCGGCGTACATAAACGCCTGTTCAATTCCTATAAAAACAGCTAAAGGTGCGGCCATCTGCAGTCTTGAATCTCTGAAATGCTCTCTTATTGCCTTCAATGTTGCTAGAGCTTCTATGCCACTATCATCCTGGAACATTAGAAGATATATTTGCTCATCTTCCAACTTTTATTATGATATCCAGGAAAAGTTATAAAATAAGATGAATTATTGAAAAAGGCTCTATCTATATGTGTGTGTATTCCGTATATACATATACTCGTATGTTACAAATCCACTACATGAAATTCATAAATATTGTCTGAAGAATAGTTACAATTCAGGAAATTCTGTTTACCTGATAATCTGCAAGCCGAATGCTATCCAACCAGATCATGCCTATCAGAAACGCTGCTAAACAGCATCCAGCGTATATCGCCGTCAAATATTCCGGCGACTTTCCAGGAAGAACCTAGGTTGACAAAAAAAACCGAATATTTACAGAACGTGACGAAAAAATGTTAAATAATGGTACAGAAAAAGTTCATCTGTAACAGTCCGCCACTTGTTTTTGCAAAAATAAGTGTTGCTTTGTCAAATCCATATTGCTTTGCTTGTAAAGTGTATCTGGGTTTTTTTTCTTAGGCGCTAAGAAGTAAAGAAGTGTCACCTTCATTGAAAATTTTTTAACGATAAATAGACTCAATGATGGTTAATAATATTTTTTTTCTGAAAACGGAAACCTCCAGGAAACGACTTAAGTAGAATCAACCTGGCTTCAAGATAGATAGATACTAATCGACTATATTAAGCGGTGATCGATTGTTTTAAGGAAGAGGTCACGTGACGTTAGAAATTTTGGGCGGGCGACGTCGACGCGGTTTTTTCGGTTTTTTCCCGGTTCGCGAAACGTTCGGAAGGAAGGAGGTACCGTTTCGGAAACTAGAAACTCGGCGCTTTACGGGCGGGCGAGAGCCGTCGCGGCGAGAGGAACGGATCGGATCGAAAACGGCCGGTAAAGTCGAAAAATCTACCGTTTTCCGGACGGTACGCGGCGTTATTTCACACTCGTTTCGCCGTTTATCGAAATATCGACTCGAGATCGGTCTCGTTCGATAGCTAAACGAGAAATACGTACCAATAAGCTAAATCTGTTCGGTTCCGCGTCTCGGTTTTTTTTCTAGAAATGTTCGAAAAAAAAGCGACAAAAATGACGAATCGCCTTGAAAACTACGATATCTCCCTTATGCCGAAGAGAAAAGGAATTTCGCGTGCCGCGTTTCGTACATCTCGGCGAGCGCTACAAATTACGCGGAGAGACGTTTTTTCGTTTACGGTACCCGTTTCGAGTAAACGAATCTCGAACGTCGTCAAGAATGACTTTTTTGCGTATAAAGCGCGCTGCTTCGCCGTATATCAGCTATCTCCTCCGAAGATAAAGGAGCTACGAACCTGACGATTTTTGCGTGCGAAAGTCCATGCTTCGGACACTCTTTTAATACTATTTTCATCATTATTATTCGTTTACGTTGAAAAGTTTCGATTTTTTAAAAATTCCTCGACAATACGCTACTTTTCGACGCGTGAAAAAGTCACCTTGTCATCCGGCTCTGTCCTCGCTTATTACTACCGTACGTGAGCGAGTAAAAATTATACAGCTATCGAAAAATAACGATAATGAGCTGACGAAACGATTCTGACCGTTAGAATTACCGTCAAATTTCGAAAAAGTAAATTTTGAGCGCCTCAAAAGTACCGATGACAACCGTTTTTCGGCGTACTTTGTCTTCGTCGATACGGACCTGCGTTACGGAGCGACGTAGCTACGATTTTTTTTTCGCAAAACGAAAGACCAAAGTCTCCTGATTAAACCGACATACGACACGTTACCCGATCGCATTTTTTAAACTCGGCAGATTAGAAAATTCAAAGATATGCACACATTTTTAGTTTGAAGTTTCAATTTTGAATTTCCCCTCCAGATCCCCGGATTCCTGTTAGGCGGGGTAATGTAGGTATGATCGTATTACGAAAGCGAGCGAGTGCGAGCGGAACGTCAAAAACGTGCCATTTTCGGCTTCATGACTATCGCTTCATCCAATATTGGATCACGCCAAATAGAATTGTCCTTTTTTACGCGTGAAAATCAACATTTTCGAAAAGATTCAAAATTTCTAAATTCCATTGTCTAAACGGACCGGACTAGATCCATTAAAATCGTAGGAATCTAGTAGTTTTTTATTTTGACAGATTGCGATGTCTACCGCCAAAGGCTGCAATTATTCTTTGACGTTCATCAGTTTATTGAAATCATCATCGGTTTATAAATACGATAAAAATATGATTGTAAGCCCCTATTCATGTTATAATTTTACAATATGGCATAAAGCTCCGCTTTTCCAACCGATTGATATAAAGCGTATGTCTGATTGCATCACCTCCGATTTCTAACCTACAATGTATGAATGTAAACATTATCGAAATCTTAATAATGAGGCTCCCGTTAATAAGGATTAATTAGAAGCTTAGAACAAGCAATCGCAGCTACAAATAGTGAAAGTGTTGTGTGAAGTGTTTACAGTTTATGTGTTTCTATTGCAAACGTAAGTAGTCAGTCACTTCTATGAAGTTCAGTAAGAGTTCAGTCTTGACCCTCAGTTCAATTTGTCTAAATATGTAGACCTATTAGCTGGCTAACAGTGGCACATATTATCAAGCAGATGAAGGAATATGCAAAGCGCTGAAAAATAGCATTGATAATCATATCTACTACCAAAGTTTTCAAAATTACTAAGACTTTCACAGCCACTGCAGTTGTTTATTTTGATCTCAATGCAGAATGTATGTACTTCGATTTAGAATGTAGCTGCTTTAAGGACTTGTCACTTCCAAGACTTGTCAAAACAACAGACACCATTACTTGTCAAAAAACTATAGCACTTGATGATTTCAAATTTCTATTCTGTTTTTAAAGATGTTATTATTATATGTCTAATTTCAAGGATACTCACATCTGTCCTGTTTCTAAGACTGATCTTAATCATAGATTACAGAAAAATTCATTATTGAATCAGAGGAAACAGATTACAAAATTTGATTTTCAAGCGATACTATTACTTACTGTCCAACAACTATAGTACTTAATAATTTCAAGCTTCCGGTCTAATTTTTTGAGATGTTATTATTATATGTCATGTTTCTAATTGATTGATCATAATCATACAACATTAAAAAAAATAGAGGAAATTTTAGTTTAAAGCGATAGCACATTTTTCTCCAGATCATAAAGCGAGCATTGTTCATCTGCTTCTGTTGAATTTTTCCCAAACGAAGAACTTTACCACCAACAAACTCATAAATATTGTAAAAACCTTGTAGTAGTAGTATCTCACCTGAGTAGTATGTATAAATGGAAAATAAGTAAACAAACTTGTCATCTATCCCTTCGATTGGCAAATATTATCAAGCAGATGAAGGAATATGCAAAGCGCTGAAAAATAGCATTGATAATCATATCTACTACCAAAGTTTTCAAAATTACTAAGACTTTCACAGCCACTGCAGTTGTTTATTTTGATCTAAATCGATTTAGAATGTA